ATCGTGTTCTTCGGCCCCATGACGCCCGAAACCACGCCAGCGCGGCCTGTTCGCCCGAGTTCAGCTCCTCGGCAGCAGCCGCCTGTGTCGTGTTCTTCGGCCCCATGACGCCCGAAACCACGCCTGCGCGACCTGTTCGCCCGAGTTCAGCTCCTCGGCAGCAGCCGCTTGTGTCGTGTTCTTTGACCTCATGACGTCCGAAACCACGCCCGCACAGCCCGTTCGCCCGAGTCCAGCTCCTCGGCAGCGACTACCCGTGTCGTGCTCTTCGGCCTCATGACATCCGAAACCACGCCCACACAACCTACTAGCCCGAGGGGGCTACCGAGCCCAATCCGACCTGTGAGTCGTTTTCGAGGTTCCTCGGCCATTCACTACCCAGCGCCGTGACTGCTCACCCGACCTTCCTTGATTGCCAAGCACTACGAGTTTCATGCCTAGGGCGGCGTACCGACCTTTGTCCGACAAAGAAAGCTCTTTAAAGCCGAAGCCATGCCTCAGACCCCCCCCCCCATTACGGCAACTGACGCATAGCTTCCTTTGGGGGGGGAGAATGATGAGGGTAATAATTACGATAAGACTTGCGTGACACCCGCTGACGTCCCGCTCCCCTGTTAGCCTGACACCGCATGACTTACACGGGTCAAAACGCCAAACGAGGCCCATTAACAACCGCTCAGGTTCGGTTCCACACGCTACGCCGATAGCAATGTCAGACGTCATTAGAAGGTACGATCCTACCCCCTGCGGGCAGGCGCATCAGGTAACACCGAACTCCCCTATAAATACCCTTGCATTCTAAACGAAAAGGAAAAAAAAAAACAGAGAAAACAACCCCACTACGATTGTTGACTGACTTGATCGTCGGAGGGGTCGGGTCGAGTTCTCCCGTCCCAACCTGTGTGCAGGAACGAAGGCGAGGCGCTTCTCTCCGGGCGCGTTGGCAAGGAACCCCCTTGCGGAGGAACCGACGACCCGTCATCCAGACCCAAACCAAGCCGCGTCGGCCCCGAGATCACGGCTAAAAGGTTGTTTACACTAACAAGTATCTCGATCTCTATATATATATTTTAAATTATATTAAAATCTTTATACTTAATTTTATATGATTAAAAATAAAAAGATAGATATTTTGTTAGAAGGGGTTAAATAGTTTATTTTTATAAATATAAAAATAATTAATATAATTTTTGAATGTACAAAAAATTAAAATGCTTAAAAGTAATTAATTATAAAAGATAATTTGTATTTAGTCCAATGTGAATCGTGGGTAGAATTCAATGTGACATGCGTGTGTGACATGATATCCTACGTGAATCGTGTGGAGGGGGGGGGGGGGAGGCGGGGCCCACATCCCACCACCTGTCCCCACACATATAGGCGCTTCTTCCTCGGGGGATAACCGATGCCCATCAACTGCCACCCGAAAACGAGGAGAGAGCGAGCGAGAGAGAGAGAGAGAGAGACGGTCGCTCCTCGTCCACCATCTGTCATGGATCGAAGATAGTGTGTGGGCGATCTCAATCCGAGACCTCTTCTCCCTCCCCTCTTTATCTCCCCCTTTCCCTCCTCCTCGCTCTCCCTCTCTCTCTTTTTCTCTTTGTCTTTCTACCTGCATCGCGTCCTCCTCCTCTTCCTCCTCCTCCCGTGTGAGAGCAACGAGGACAGAAGGAGAGCAGGTGTGTGCGCTGCGCTGGGAGTTCCCTCGGGCGGCGACGACACTGCCTTGGCCGGCCCCGACATGGAGAAGGAGGAGCAGAAGGAGAGGAAGCCGGGGGAGGAGGGTGGCGAGCCCAGCGAGGCCAGCAGCGAGGTGGAGGGAAAGATAAGCCGGAAGCCCAGCTGCGCCTCCCTCGCCTCCAACGACGAGGACTACGTAGGCGGCGACGAGGAGGACGATGACGAGAAGCGAGCGGTGCTCCTCGGCCCGCAGATTGCTCTCAAGGAACAGATTGAGATGGACAAGGTGCAGTCTTATCATACATATATCGTCTGATCTAATCTGATACATATATATATACTCCGTCAATGCACATTGTGGTTGGTTCCACAGGATGATGAGAGCTTGAGGAAGTGGAAGGAGCAGCTCCTTGGAAGTATTGATCTCAATGAAGTTGGAGGTTCTCTCTCTCTCTCTCTCTCTCTCTCTCTCTCTCTCTCCATATACTAATACATATATATATACGTATTCTCTTTGGACTTGCTCGATTTGATGTAACGTGCACATGACATGTTCGCTTATTTTACGCAGAGACTCTCGACCCGGACGTAAGGATTCAAGACCTCACGATCCTGACTTCCGAGCGCTCCGATCTGGTTCTACCGATTCCATTCGTCCCCGACGCGAAGGGCTTCGCGTTCGCGCTCAAAGACGGAAGCCGCTACCGCCTCAAGTTCTCCTTCACCGTCTCCAACAACATCGTCTCCGGACTCCGCTACACCAACACGGTCTGGAAGACCGGGATGAAAGGTAGTGTTTGAAACGGAACCTTGGTCCTTGTGCTGTCGTGGGCTTTGTTTTGTTAAGCTTCGTGTGCTATGCCGTCGTGGCGTTCGATCTTTTGTCCAGTTGACAGCACGAAGGTGATGCTGGGAACATTTAGCCCTCAGAAGGAACCTTACACGTACGAGCTGGAGGAAGAGACCACCCCCGGTGGTTACTTCGCGAGGGGATCCTACTCTGCAAGAACAAAGGTGAGAGCGGTTACTGCAGATGAGCGGACATGGACAGAGGATGATGCATGCTACCCTTTTGCTTTTGTTGCAGTTCGTGGATGATGACGGGAAGTGCTACCTCGACATGAGCTACTACTTCGAGATCCGGAAAGACTGGCCGACGCCCGCTTGAGCATCGTCCGAAGGTTTTGTGCCATTGAATCCGTCTCCGGAGGAACTGAAGCTTGTCATTGCATGCTTGCAGAGGATTAATCGTTTTGATTTGAACTCCGGAGATGGATGTCTTGAGGTGCTGTCGTTCCGGGCGAAGGTGTTCGACATGAGTCAAGCTTTGTTATGTGTATGGGGGAAAGTTGCAAGCCTTTGATGTTTGCTTTGCCTTCTCTGACATGGTGTTAATCTTGTGTTGCTTCTTCCTCTGTGGCCCTCCTAAATGGGATGCTAATAACAATGTTTACTTCTGTTTTGCAAGGATTGTTAAGAGTTTCTTTTCATGGAATGTGTGTTGGTTAATTATGTCCATAGATTACTGCTTTCCAACCATACAAATCAATTACAAGGATTGGATTCATGTTATGAACTCATTATTTCTTCCATCTTTCTGCTAGAAATGAAATGGGTGTACAATCGATAAGAAGGATTGGATTCATGTTATGAACTCATTATTTCTTCCATCTTTCTGCTAGAAATGAAATGGGTGCAGGTTTTTTACTTTTCCTAATTAGATTATGATCGATCAATTTTATGTTAAACCAGGATAGAATATGGTGTTCATAGATCTAATAATATTATCATTAGGCTATGGAGCATGATTTGATACATACCGACACGACACATGATACAATTGAATGTACCAATTCAGATCCCTTGTTTGATCGATACATATTGCTTGTACTGAGCGATATATAACAATACGATGAACCTTACTACAGACAAGGACTGTCAGAAGCCCGAGGTTTATTTAGCAGCATGAAATTGCTTGTATTTTCTTACTAGTTTAATCCTACTAAAAGTAAAAGGAACGACAACAATAAAAATAATAAGAAATAGCTCAGCCCTTTTAGCATATTCAAATTCCAGATGCTTTTATGAAGATGAAAAAAATAGAGATGCTATTCCATAGTGCCATGCTAAATTTATCGAAGCATGACCGAGATATTTAAGGTGATAAATATGGTGTACGTGCAGGTCAGACTAAGCACAAACACCCATGAGATTTCCCAGGGAAATAATCTTCACAAAATGGAGCAAAGTTTAGACGCACAAGCATGAGTCATCCATAAGCTTGCAACAAGTACAATCAGAATGGCACAACAGTTAGTTCCTGAGCAATTCAACATTACAACTCTAGGGCAAGGACATTTAGAGGATTTAATGTTGCAATTTTCAATCATAAATGCGTATGAAACGTGAAAAAAAAAAAAACTATTTATTCGCATTTAACCTGTCATTTAGTCAGCGCTCACCTTTATAAGATTTGAGCACAACAAAACGATTAATCAGCGAGACAACATTTAGAAGGGGGAAAACAAAATTGGAGAGACGATACTAACAATGATCGATCGTCGTCATTTTTTCACCGCCAACCATATTATACCATCAAAATTTTCTCCGAGAGGAAATGGAACTCAAGGGGAGCTTTTGGTTCTAAGGGGCCATGAGTCCTTCGATTGTGTATGAGAGAGACTCTGCCCAGTCAGTTTTGAATAATAATGTTTGTAGTGTCCGCATTACGTTATAATCTGGATCCAGTTTGCGCTGCCAACCCTACAAAATAAACAAATGGGAACTTCAGCTGTGCCAGAGAAACAAAAGACATTCTGAAACACATTTGTTACTGTTTCAATCAAGCTGGTTAAGAGTGCCACAGACTAATACATCATGCCCCCCCTTTTTTTTTTTAAATTCCCATCCACACATGAGCAGGAGCAATCATCTGAAGAGTAGAATTATTTCCACGAATAAAAATCTGATGCATAAAGCAGGCACCATTTGTATGGAAGAGCAGGAATTCGAAACATGAGCAACCTTTGTAATGGAAAAATTTTCCACCTGTATATGATTTTCATTATAGATCATGTGTTTGTATATGCCTGAATATTGTGTTTAGCAAATAGAAGTAGTTGTTAGATTGATAAGAAAATGACTATAATGATTTGAAGTTAAGATGCTTCACTTCACCAAGAAATTACTGAACACAGCCACTATCCAGATAATCTTTTTTTTTTCACGTGATTCCCAGAATAAGCAAACACAATGCAGTTTTCATCAAGAAATAAACCGATACTTCTTAGCACAATTAATTGGAAATTGTTTAGAGCTGATAATGTGCATGAGCTTCTTCTATGAAAAGCTCCTAGGAGACTCTTCTTGTCTCATGCCTCTGCGCAATTCTAAAATTGCCTTAAAAAATTGACTTTATAATGCTCAATGTGTCCCATCAAAAAGCACATACAATAGAGCTAATTTATAAGCCTATAAGTTCTATGATGCAATCATATTACTTAAACATACAAGACAAGGAAAGTGTTGTATCTTTTTGTTCAATGCTCCATATGATGGTTCAGATGATATCAAATTGGGATGGGGTATATACATCATTTGTACAAGCTAAGAAGTACAAGATACAAAGAAACAGAAGCTGATACATATGATGGTTCATATGATGGAAAGAGTTGTATCTTTTTGTTTAATGCGCCACGTGATGGTTCACATGATATCAAATTGGGATGGGGTATATAAACCATTTGTACAAGCTAAGAAGTACAAGATACAAAGAAACAGAAGCTGATACATACAGTGGGGTAAAGTTGATTAAGATATTTACCTCTAGAACCAAAGTTGTCACCATCACAGTGCAAACATTACCGTCAATATTGACTTTATGGCGGCGAACTTGCTCTAGCAATTGATGCATGCATTCAGCTGGATGGACAGAATCCCCTTCAGCTGAGCCCCAAAAACTGAATGACCTCACTACCTCCTGTAATATCATATACACATCACCAATGAACATGCATACACATGAATGCATATACAGGTGCATGGGTATCCAGTGTTTGAAGTAACTATTAGAGTGTGATAGGATCTCAAGCGCAGAGAACATATCAATTAAATTTCCAGCCTTAAAACACTTCAAGAAAAGGCTACAACAGACAGTACCTCAATGAAAGCCTTTGGATTTGGGCAGTTTTGATTTTTCGATAACCTTAAGGTGCACTCAGCAGCAGTCCGGCCATCTCGAAGAGCAACAGCCTTAAAGAAGTCAAGCAGATTTACACGGTCACTGCCGGAAAGCTCTGCAGTCATGCCTACATCAAGAAAGATGACATGAGGCCTTGATTTAAAAAGCCCTTTATTTGAGTGCTTGGTTTGAACTCGGACAAGAATATTTCCAGGATGCATATCTGCATGGATGAAATTGTCCACCTGAATAAAAATGACTGTTCAAGTTAACTATAGAAAGAAAGTCACCTTAAAATGTAACAAAATGCTTAACAACCACAAAGAGAGTTTAAATGGTTCCAAGATTCATAACATACTATCAAGGAAAAAAAAGGTGAATGCATGGTTCAATTGGGACCTTGATCCTTGTCCTTGGAAGAAAATAAACAAAGTGTCCTCTAATAAAAAAGAGTTATGCTGACTGTTGCCATCAAGAATAAAAGTTTTCTTTGAGAACACTAGTAGTAATAGTTTTGAATTAAGAAAAAAAGAAATATTATAAGTAGGAACACAAAAACATAAATTAGATGAAGTGTTAATAGGGAGTCCAACGCAATTTCCATTGACATTGATTGTTTTTATTGGTCTGCACGTCAAACTTGAAAGCGGAAGCAATATGCACAGACAAAAAATACTATAGGCTGAAAAGAAGGTTGAAAACCTGGGTGGAACAAAAACCAAAACTAGAAAGATCACAAGAACAAAATAATACCATCAAAGAGACAAATGGAGATCATACCAAGAGCATCTTCAAGAGTGCATGAGTCCCAATGTGAGCAAGAGCCCTTTTGACTCGGTCATGCCCATCAAGCTCATCAACATAGTGAGAAACGCTTTGCCCATGCTCGTAAGTCTCCACTAAAACTGCAGGATGGACAAGTGGGTAGAGAGGTTTTGGAAAAGATACATCCTTCCACCTGCGAAAATTATAAATGAAGCGGCTTAGATGGGCAGCTTCCCTTGCAAGATCTACTTGAGACATCATGAAAACAGCAAACTGCTGCACGCTTTCGTCAAGGCGCAACCACTTCAAGGTAGGCATGAACTTGGAGATCTTGGCCACCATATTAATTATCATGAAATCCCTCCTAATGGACTCACCAACACCAGGATGTCTAACCTTTACAGCAACAACCAGGCGCTTTGCCTGTTGACCAGGATATCGAAATCTCAAAGAAGCCCGATGTACTTGAGCTACACTTCCAGACGCCACAGGCTCCTCTTCAAAATTCTCAAAAACATCAGAAAGTTTGCGGCCAAATGCTTTCTCTATAGATTTCCTTGTGTAGGCAAAGCTATGAGCAGGTGCTTTAGTATGAAGCTTCGCCAATTCAGTGCAAAGGTCACTAGGGAAGAGGTCTGGACGTGTAGCAGCCCATTGACCCCATTTTATTAATGCTGGACCTGCCTTTTCCAGAGTAGAATGAACAAGATGAATCCACACTTTCCTGAACTTAGGACCACAATCATCTGCAAGTGGAGCCATTACTATTATAGGGGAGAACAGAATAGCCAAATAGAATGCTCTTAGGAATAATATAAAACACTCCAACAGCGAAAGAATAAATGAAGTGAGAAAAATATGGCTATCTTGTGCACGCGTATAAAAATCATCTCGTGTTCGAAAATATTCCCCATCTGCCCAAGCCATTTTAGACAATGCAATCTCTCCTGCAACAAATGCAAGAAAACTAGGAACTAAATGGGATCTAGTGACAGCCAAGCTTGTAGCACAAGCAATCTTACTGACAGGTGAAGAAGCAATTCCTCTATAAGAGTACATTACACAAAGCCTTTGCCAGGCAACTTGAGCATGATGTGTCATTGAACTTCTAGCTGAAAGAACAGAGAACTTCCGCAAGGGGTTATTCTTGTATAAGTTCTCCTCAGATTTGTAGAGCATAGATAAGTTATTTTGTCTGCAAAAAACTTTGTAACAAGATAACATTCGGTATGAAAAAGGGAATCCATTTGTTGAAGATAATCTAGGATCTGTAATGGAAAAGCTGGTTCTGTAATTTGCTAGAAAAGAATACCCAATTTTCCTGATTTTATGAAAAGACAAAAACCTGCAAGTGGGATGAAGGATGTTGTAAGTCACAAAGTAAACCTTGAAATAAAATATTAACTAAAACATTTAAATTCTTAGACTATAATTGACTAATAGCTATTCGATATTATTATCTACTGAGTATAACAAGAACCATGTTAAGTTATGCAAATAAGATGATTTAGAACTGATAAACCAATTTCCTACATGGATAATACA